GGGGTGTTGGGGTTGTGGGGCGAGGTGGGGTGGTGGTGGTGGGGCGAGGAGTGGGGATGGGTGGTGGTGGGGGTGGATTTCTGGCCAGAGTTTCGGAATTGAAAATGCTTTCATTGTATCACATCATTCCCAATGTCTCCATGTCGCAAACTTCTCATAGCTTGTTTGAGGTGTCACCTCTTATCTTAAAAAAAATGTTTTATTCATCTTGAGCAGGTTTTGTCTCTCTGCCAACTCAATTGATTAGTTTATCCCTCTCTCTGTCATTTTCCGTCTTGAGCCACAACCTGACCCTAGATCAACTCCTCCATGTAGTACGCAGATTTCCACCTCTGCAATTTGACCTTTTCTGGTTTTCATTCAAGTTTTTGTGAGCTGAAGCCTTCATCCATGTTTGTGGTACATAAAACTCCACAACTATTATAGCTCTCCCAGTGAAACTCACCAGTTCCACCCTGCAGAAATCTGCACTCATCCAAACTCTACAACCTGATTCCTGGCATGTACTAAATTCAATTCACCCTTTATCCCCCTGCTCACTGACTGTTCCTGTCTGATAAAACTTTCATTTCAAAATTTTCACCCTTCTGTTCAAATTCCACTGTGGCTTTTCCCCACTCAGGAAACATGGTATCCACGACATTTCCTTTGCCCTTTGAGAATTCCCTTCCTAAATCTTTCCTGTTGTAGTATTTTCTGTAAAGCCTATCTCTGACCAAGATTTTGTCTTCTGTCCTAATATTTCCTGCCTAATAAAATCCATTGTTAAAGTGGCTATTTTATTGGTTTCATGGTTTTACAAAAACATTTGCTTTCAAACCATCACATTCCTTTGTTTCTGGGGGAGGGTCTTTGATATTTTTGGGGGAACAAATTTGGAACTGGCAGTGTTTGCTGGGGAAGACTGTTTGGTATTTACGCAGTATAGCAGTCGCTGCTGGATGATGCAGTCTCCTGCAGTAATACACCAAGAGGCTATGCTGATGTCACAAACAGCAAGAGCAAGGCTGCAGCAATGTACTTGCCTTGAACACTGGATGGGATGCCTCATTCAATATTCAATCATGTTACTGTCATATCATTTATGTGTGAAACATGTCAGAATCTCAAATTATCAGGGAAAATTTAGTTATTCTGTATCATGTAATTAGGACTGAAATTGTGCAAAACATAATGGTTTCAGCACATTTAAAAAGACCATCTCTTTTAATATATTTGTCCATCCAGCACTGGTCAAAATTAATAATTTCTCTTTGGTTGATTTTAATTGAGCACGATTCTGAAAGATGGACATGTGACCAGTGATACATAACATTTCAATGTAGTGTTGTACTCTGCAAGCAGTCATTGCTCAAAGTGTTGATATTAATTTTGTCACTTTCTTATGGAGGTTTTCCATCTGTTCTTTCATAAAACTTAGCTGCCAGAGGAAGTACAATTACCACATTTAAAAGCCATCTGGATGGGTACATGATTAGGAAAGGTTTAGAGGGATATGGGCCAAATGCTGTCAAACGGGTCTAGATCAGTTTGGGATATCTGGTCGGCATGGACGAGTTGGACTGAAGGGTCTTTTTTCATGTTATATAACTCTGACTCTATTTGAAATGCATTTACTAGCGTTTCTGCTTAACTGCTGTAAATTGAGAGTTCAGCAAACCTGAACACGGGTGATTTTCGAACCTTCAAAGCTCAATCAGGTATCTGCTCCATCTCTGCTTTACAGTATTGCCCGATGTTTTCACTATACAATCAACAATTATGATGATTACTCAAAATATTAAATATTCATAAAGTTTTCACTGGCAGCATTGTTTTAAAGGGATGAGCAAGTGTTATGTAGATGAGTTATGTGTGCTTTTTTAAAATACTGATTAGGAATATTACTACATTCCATTGTTTTAATCAATGGAAAAAAAATTTGACAATAACTTGTTTTTTCAGGCTGCAGAAACTGCCCAGCTTGAAGAACATTTGGAGGGTTGGGGAGAAGTAATGCTTGCTGCAGATCATGTCCTGCGCTGGGACAAACCGTGGTTTCCTGCTGTAATGATGCTGGTCGTGTCAGTGGTATTTCTGTAAGTATTCAGATATAAGTTGCAATTATATAGCACCTTTTTCATGAAAAAACTATTCTAAAGAGTTTTGCATGGTTCTAATCAGATACAAAATGGGCATTGACCCAAAGAAAGAGTTTGGCACAGATGACTCAAAGCTTGAGAGTTTTAGGGGGAAAATGCAAGTTTAAGAAAAATCTTTAAGAGGAGAGAGAGATGAGAGTCAGGGATTCATCTAGTGAGAAGACTCCTGAAGACATGGTTGCTAATCCTGGGCAGGAGAAAAGTAAGTTATTAGATTGTGGAATATTTGGTGATTCTGTGGAATTGAAACTTCACCTGTTGAAGTGTTTTTCTTCGAGTTAAGGTACTCAACAATTGTGGAAAACCTGCTCTTTAGCCTGTTGGAACTCGTTCCAGTGTAAACCTTAACACCAGATAATACCAGCCCAACTAGTTTAATTCTCACAGCTCAGACAAAGCAGACATCATGAACCAAGAATTATTAGTGGGCACTTTAACTTTTTCTTTCTTTATCCTTGCATGCGAAGTCGATGGTGCTGATAAAGCTAATAGTTGTTGCCCAGTCCTAATTGCCCTTGAACTGAGTGCCTTGCTTGGCCTTTTCAGAGGGCATTTGAGAGCTGTGAGCCTGGCCTAGCGAATGCCAGACCAGGTAAAGGACATTAGTAAAACAGATAGCTTTAAAAATCTACAGATGATAGTTTTGTGGTCAGTACTGCTGAATTGTGCTATAGGGTGTCAGAGATTTGCGGGGGGGGGTTGATCTGTTTTCTGCAGTTCAGATTTATGCTCCAATGTACTTTGGCAGTTATCCAGACTTTAAAATGAAACTGAAGGATTTACCTTTATGCAGGTTTCAGTAATGTTAAACACTTGGTGACAGGGAGTGTATTAAAATGAGTTCCATCTCCAGTTGAAAGAAGGATCTCTCATGAAGATGCCACTTGTTGGTGGAAACAGGTAGTAGGTTAAGTACAGTTAGCAATACCTCCTACTGTCTTGTTAAGGCATGATTGGTAATCCACCAAATTAGCTGTTTTGATTTTGTAGATAATCATCCTCTCGTGACAGGTTACATTAGATGGTGTGAAATTTATTTACATTTTGTGGTAACCAAACTGTCAGTTTTTCCAGCTGCATTCATGATATGTTGGTGTCGACAGATATTTACAGTTAGTAACCAACTTTACACTGTAATATTAAGGCCATTAGTTCAAGTTTAACGGTTTCCTTTCCATGAAAAGGATGGGCAAATTCTCTCCAGCTATTTTGCCCCCTTATACTATAGTAAAGTTAAAAGATGAATATTGTCTGTATTGTTGTGAATAATACTGCAAAACAACAGCTTAGTAACTGCCTACCATGATTAAGGTTTCATTTGGCCAACCATCTCAGGATTAAAATATGGTTGTTAATCTCCAGAATTTGCCAGTTAACTGTACGCTGTGCTAGTTGCTTTGCAGACTTGCACAGACCTTACTTATTTTTAAGAATTTGCTGAATTTCTACGCTGGTTGTCAAATAAATTCTCAACTGAAGGTTAGGACTGATGTTGAGTGCAAATAACCATTTTATGTAATGACTGTTACTGCAATAGCAATTAATTTCTCTTGCGCATAAGAATTGAGTATAATGAATATTGAGCACTTGGTTTATGGGGTAGATTGCAGTGGTGAGAAGAATATCCAACCTGTAGTTAACACCATCTCAGATATAATGTGTGTTGTAAAAACTTGTTATGGAGTTCTAAAATCTATTTTTGTGTTTATCTTTTCATTTATATAGCATCTCAACAACTCACATAATGAATAATATTTGAAATGCTATGACTTATGTCGGCAAACATGACTCGGCCATTCTGTACTTGCACATTAAATAACTCTATAAAGAAAAGACTTGTGGCCAATTCAGTAAAAACTCTAGGCATTTTCTCCCCAACTTCTTAAAGCAATCAAACAAGTCTCAGGAGATAACAGAAGCCTCAATACAGGCATAGTGGGAAATGGTGTCTTTGTAAAGACCTGCAGTAAATCCATATCCATTGTGCGTTCTGTTACTTTCTGGCATTTAATTCATTGTTTTTGTCAATTCTAGATTTTCTTCAGTTCACTTTAAATATCTATAACCTGCCAATTATAAACAAACATTGATATTCTGATTGTTTGGCTAATGATGGAAACTTAAATCTATGTTTAATAGCCCCACCTAAATTCTTCAAGACTACATTCTGCGATAACTGAATTATCATATTATCCACCTCACCTCCATTGGCCCACCATTGATTGCGTTCAAAAGTATGAAATAAACAAATAAATATGCACAGTTGGCATAATTTCTGCAATGTGATTTGCCTTCACAGACTAATCTACTGGCTGGATCCTTCAGTACTGACTGGTGTTTCATGTGCTATTATGGTCATCTGTTTGGCAGATTACCTGGTTCCAACTGTTGCTTCCAGGATGTTTGGATCCAACAAATGGTGAGAAGCTTGTATCAGACTTCTAGTTAGTGACAGTCCATCCGTTTTTCTGAATTCTGTCATCCATTCACTTTGCTATATTTGTCAGAAGTTTAATTATATTTTCAAAATATAAATAAAAATATTAAAAAATATAATTAAACTCTGGTATTGTAGAACTTCCTCATGGGTAGAGCCAGATGTGAATTCAGTCCAAAGTGATGGGAAACTCCCGACTTGAGATGGTCCTTTCATTCTACCTCAGCCTTGCCTGCTGTCGAACGTTCTCTGATGTAGTGCCTCAGGGCAGCATCTCTGTGACCATTCTTCACAGTCCACATACTGTCCGTCTTCACCAAACGACCATATGCACTTTTCAGTAGGATTGTTGGATATTAGTCTGGAGTGGGGACTATAGCTATAGGAAAACTGGCAAGTTTTTAACAAATGATTATAGTATAAAGGTTTTTATTTAAAATGTTCTAAGCTGTACTTTTATGTTTGGAAACGTTGTACTGTTTTTGACTACACCATGTTCCTTGTCGAGAGATGTGGATTGTATCACACACTTAGGATAAGCACAAACAGTACAGACTAAGAATTTTTAAAATTTGGCTCATGGATATATATGACACATTGGTAATGTTTATATCTGCACATAGGAGAAGTGAAGGCTGAGATTTTACTACTTATATTTGTGGATTGAGCTTATCCCTGATGTCAAGTAATGTTAGAGAAACCTTAAAATTTAAAGTACTAAATGAAAGGAGGGTATCTATCAGTACACCATTTAGACAAGTTGAGAATTTTTACCAAGCTTGTTGTGATTGCAGTTGGAAGCAAACTACTTTTCTGTGCACTGGGATATGCCATAAAGCTACATTACTTGTCTATTTGCTGACTACTTTGTAGTTTTGAAACCACCTAACAGAGGTGATTTTGTTTTAAGCAAATTGACACGGATGTTGTCATATCAATGTTTGTGCAGTCCTGAAATGCTTCATATTTTGCTCGGATCAACAGGACTACAGAGCAGCAACAACGCTTTCATGAAATCTGCAGCAATCTGGTAAAGACCAAGCGTTGGGTTGTGGGCTGGTGGAGACGTCTCTTTGCTCTGAAGGAGGAAAAGCCTAAAATGGTATGCAGAATTCTCCTAATGAATGAACTGAACTCTGTTTAAAAAAACAAACCTTGGCTTAATTCCTATTGCTTTGTAATGGCCTGCAATTTAAAACATGGATGTGGTAAAAATGGTCTCTTTAACAAATGCTCAGAGGCCCTTTCCCCATATCTTTTGTATACAATTATATTTTTGTAAAGGACTTTAAATTCAACGAGTAAGATATAAACTTTACCGAGATAGCTGTTAGAAACCTCTCTTTTTGCTGAACTATTAAGTATTTAATTGCAAGTTTTTGACTTAACACACTCTGCTTTTAGCCTGTGGGTGGCAACAGGTCTTCATTTGGTTTTCTCCCATAGAGAATTCAGCAGAATCAAAGTAAAATATGGCTAAATTTACCTTAGGGATGCACTATCCAATGCTTCTTCTGAGATAACGTGCTGGTCCTACTTGCTGCTAGTGTTGTGCAAGGTCATCATTGATCAACTTGTCATAATGATCTTTCTGACTCAGAACCAACAATTGAATAATGGACGAAGTTTCCTATTCTGCAAGAATATGCCACTTGCCTATTTAGCAGAAAGTAATTTCTAATATTCTTTGCTCTAGTATTTCATGACTGCAGTTAGTGTTCTCTCTGTGGTGGCTTGGATTGGGCAACAGGTTCACAACCTCTTCCTCACCTATTTGATTGGTAAGTTAACAAATGAATTTTCATTTTGTCACTCATCTCATTAATTTGGAATCTGGGAAGTCAATATTGAGATGGAATCATACAGCATGGAAAAAGACCCTTCGGTCCAACTAGTCAACGCCAACCATGTTCCCAAACTAAACTAATTCCATATTTAATCATTTTGGATCAAGAGATACCCCTTGGTATTTACACTCTGTGCATGTTTCCTGTGTTCAAATCAGGTTGAATTTTGCAGTGTGACATTGCACGCCTGAAGTGGATGTTGTGCCGTATTAGATCAGATGCCTACCTGAAATAAACATGGACACTATTTCATTATGAATACATTTCTGTGTCTGAGCTGGGGTTCTATTGTGAAATTCATCAATGAATGTGACCGAAAAAAATCACTCCCTTGACAAAATCACCAAAGAACTCTCCCTTTGACTAAGGCTCTGCCTAGTCATTTCTGATTTCATGCAGTCAAATTGGAGACTAATGATAACTGAGAGGTGGGAGCTTACCTCACCTATCCTTTCAGCTCATTATAACCATTTTCCTGCTTTGTAATCATTTTCTAGAAAATAATAAATTTCTCATTGATCTCCTTTGTCCACTTGAGGGGGTGATGATTCAATTGTCTCTTGTTGGACATGGTCATTGCCTGGCCTATGTGTGGAGAGAATGTGACTCATTAACCTAAGCCTGAATTTTGACCAGACCTTGCTGCATTATCTGAGAGACCATGAACGTTGTTGAACATCATGCAATCATTCATGAACCTCCCCATTTTTAACCTTGTGATGGAGGGAAGGTCATCAGTAAAGCAGCTGAAGACATAATTCTGAGCCAGGTTACATGGGTTGAAGTCCCACCTGCTCCAGCGGTGTGTCTAACATCTCTGAACAAATTGATTAAAATATCTCTACTCTGGAGAACTCGTGCAGGGATGTCCTTTGAGGCCATCATTAGCTATGTTTACACTGTTTTAAAAACTTAGGCAGGATTGGGGTAGGCTGGTTATGAGTAATACATTTATTTTAATTAGGGCAGGCAAGTTGGGCCTTAAATACATCCATGTGATGGAAAGTACACTTAGTGAATTATATCAGCTGGTTGGTTCCAAAGCCAAACCAATTACTGCCCCTGGCTCCTCATGCTGGAAAAGCATTTTTCTTTGGTTTTGGGAGGGTGGGTATGCTCAAGTTAGATTAAGCGACAGCAAGGTCACCTTATACCTCGATAGACTGCGGGGCAATTTCACATATGTGCATTGTTCCAGATCCTCTGCATCGCTTCCTGATCTCTACCCCTTGGTCTTCCCCAACCCCCTTTTCGTTCACGCACATGTGCATGGTCACGGGAGAGAGCACATATGTTCTGCTATGTCAGTAAATGCAGACTGAGCATTTTACATTTTCATTTGCATATATTTCTAATAGAGTATAGAACCTAGAATGTTAACAGTAGCAATTAAATAAACTTAAAGCTTTACAATTTGACATTTCTTCAGCAGAGAGTTTTTATTTTAAGCAGAATGTAAAATGAAAAATAAAGCTGGTGGCACTTTATTAAATGTTGAAGCATCTTCTTAGAATTTAAGACTTTTTTTTGCAAGGCAACTGGTATTTCTCTCTCAAACAAAAGCAGAAGTTGCTGGAAAAGCAAAGCAGGTCTGACAGCATCTGTGAAGAGAAATCAGAGTTAACATTTTCGGGTCTGTTCTGAGGAAGGGTCATCGGACCCGAAGTGTTAACTCTGATTTCTCTTCCCAGATGCTACCGGACCTGCTGAATTTTCCAGCAACTTCTGTTTTTGTTTCTGATTTGCAGCATCCACAGTTCTTTTGGTTTTTATTTTGTATTTCTCTCTATCTGTCATAATCTGATAGAATGTGCTATTTTTTTTTTTGCTCACTTCCCTCTCCAACCACATTACTATAATGTGTTGAATCTAATGAAGTCAGTTCTTATCATGAGAGTCAGTGCAGTTAGTTATCAGATTCCTTTTTCACAGTATAAAATAACCTTTTGTTGTTTTCAGTGAGTTTCATACTCTTGTTTCCTGGTCTGAATCGGCATCGACTGATCACAAAATATGTGGGAATGGCTAGGCGGGAAATTAACAAGCTACTGAAGCAAAAAGAGAAGAAAAATGAATAATGAAAACTGGATTTGTCACAGTTAAAAATGAATTTTATTACTGGTGACCTTAGCTGGCAATTTTCTTGCTCAATCAAAAAGAAACAGCTCCTAGTGTGTGCTCAGCTATAATATCTGCATTTGGAGGGGAAAAGAGAAGGCAAAATGTGTGTATGTAGCAAGTGGGCATGATATAACAAGGTTTATTTTCTCATTATTTCAGATCAGGAATTGCTATTTAGTTTTAAAAGACTTGTTCCCAACTGATGTTTTCTCTCTTTGTATTCGTGATGTTTTGAATTAGTTTTTGTTCAAGCCATGACTGCACTGAAGGTTTAACCAGAAACTATTCTGTTACATGGAATTATTGAATTGCTTGATATCTGTGCAATCACCTGTATTCTTGCTCGAGTATTCGCATGCGTGGGAGCCAGTTGTCAGTATCAGAAACAGTATATCTGCTATGACTACTGTTATGTAATTCTGTGTTTGAAGTTACATGTAAATAGGGCTATCTTTCACTCTGTGTAAATGTTTCTTATGTATATTTGTGGTTAATGTACATTTTAGTTGTTTTTAACTGTATCCTTTCGAGGGTTCTCGCTCAATAAAGCACTGAATAGGTGGCTTATGCACAAATCAACCTTAATTCATCTTCCATCGTCCAAGAGCTGAAACTACTTCAGTCCAAGGGAAGTAAGCAGCATGTCCACCCTCTTCGATACATTTACAGTGCCATGCATGGTCATGTCATTAGTTAATCCCTTTGTTTGAGCTTCATCCATTTCATTTGCATTGCAATGAATTAAGAGAATGTCCACCTCCAAGTAGACAAGGGCATTCTTTTTGATGCCTCTTTTCATGCTAACTTTACTGATGCTGCATCATGTGTTTCTGCTGAGGAAAGCGAAACAACAGGAATTCTGAAGGGAACTGTTTTGGGAGCGCTGTGACAGCGTTCAGTCTAGGTTCTTTAGTCTTCCTGATGGTGTACGGCTAATTGTTCTTGGTCATTATGTCCCTGAATTCCACTGGCAAATATCATATTTTCTCAGTATTGACCTTTATCCTTTACAGGTTAATACACAGGTTTACTACCTTTGCTTTCCCCTAGCTCCTCAACTAAACTCAGCAATCTTCAAAAGTTATAAATTCTGATTGCCTCTGGTTTCCTGTTTGTGACAAAGGCTGGCTTGGCTTTTTTTTTGAGAAATGAATTAGAAAAAAATATGTAGTCTTTAAAATGAAGCTTGTGGTAGCTTTTCAGTGATTACAGTTAATCAGATAAAAATGCACATTAAAAATGTAACAGTGTAATGTTAAATTGTGTATTCAATGGAAAGAAGTAGCTGAAATTAACCTTTCTAAAATGTTATACATCTAATGTTCTAATACTATTTAATACATTTTGGAGTCGAGCCTGAAGCAAAATCTAATAAAGTGTTCTGTCACTTGGTGTTTGTTTTTGTCTCTGCTCAGAAAGTAATCAACAATTCTAATATTTCTGTATTTAAACACTTAAAACTACTATCTTTATTTTAATTACGGTGCTACTTTATCTGGTTGGCTTTAGCACCTGAACCAAATAATGAATAACTAGCCTACCTTGCTGAGTATTTTAGAGGATTGTTCTTATTTCAGGTTTCTAGAATCAACAGAATTTTACATTTGTTGTGGTGAACTATTTTGTAATTTGAACAGTGCTGCCATGATTTATTCAATGCAGGTTTCATGGAAACATTGGTCTGGATTTTCTGCTGATCGTCATTATTCGGGCATAGGTAGGAGGTGCACTTGGGGATCCTGCAGAATCCCTATTGAAGCAGACTCTGAGTGAATTGCTTAGGAAATTGAAGGTTCTGCAGGGCAATTTCTCTCTGCCAAGAACATTCCAAAGGTTTTCTATTAAATTGGAGAATCCAGAGGGTTCAGATGATATTATAGATTCATGCAGGGCAGAAAAGGCCCTTTAGCCATCAAGTGTGCATCAGCATAACTACCACTAAAAGTGTACAATTTCCTGCACTTGTCCTATATCCTTGAATGTTATTATATTTCAAGTGCTCAAAAGGTTGTAAGGTTTCTAGCCTCCACTACCTTTCCAGGAACTGCATTCCAGCAGGTGTCATGGTAGCATGGATAAAGAATTGGTTAGGTAACCTGAACCAGAGGGAGAAAAGGGTCTTTTTCAGGGTGACAAGCTGTAACTAGGAGAGTGTCACAGTGATCAGCATGGAGGCTTCAACCAACTATGATGTGTATTGATGAATGAATGGTTGCTAAATTCACTGATGACATTGAGACAGGTAGAAAAGAAAACTGTCTAGAGGAAGGAGAGTTAGCCAAAGACTACAGCCATGTTAGATGAGTGGACAACAATTTGCATGGAATACAACAACAGAAAGTATGAACCTGTGCACTTTGGTAGGAACATCCAAGAAGTAGCATATTATTTTAATGGACAGCGGTTGCTGAGTTCTGAGGTATAGAGGACTTTGGACATCACAAGAAGTTAGTCTGCAGATACAACAAGTGATGAGGAAAGAAATGGCATGTTATCATATATTGCAAGAGAAATGGAATATGAATAAAACTTTTACAGCAGCAGTATTGGGTCTTGCTGAGACTGATCTGGACTACACTTATTTGAAAAATAACATAATTGCATTAGAAGCAGATCAGAGAAGGTTCACTCGATTCATTCCTGAATAAAAGGCATGTGAAGCAAGAATAGCCCATACCCATTGCTGTTTAGAAAAATGAGGGGCGATTTTATTCAAACATATTAGATCCTGAGGGGAGTTGACCTTGTAGATACTGGAGGATGCTTCCTCTTGTGAGGCAAACTAGAAAAAGAAAAGGCACAGTTTGAAAATAAGGGATCTACCTTTTAGGATAGAGATGAGCATTTTTCTGATGATTGTTAGTATTTTGATATGTGTTTAGGGTCTAACCCTATTTAGTGTCCCAAAGTAAGGCTGCTGGAGCCCAAGGAATTTTGTGCAAGAATTCTTTATTTACAATGTTATACACTCTCATTCTTCTCACCCTCAGTTGGAACCCTCACACTCTCCCAGCTCATTATACTCAATTACTTGACACTGACATCATTTCTTACTTGAGTACACATGGTAATCTTATCTCTACAGTTACTCCGTGAAATCCGATGAAAGCGGAGTTATTGAACTTATTCAATGCAGCAGTGGATTGTGAATTGTCAAGGGTTGTGGCAGTCTGAAAAGTGGATTTGAGACCACAGCTGGGTCAGGTATGATCTTACTGAATGTGGGGACAGATTCAGAGGGGTGAATGGCCTACTGCTACTCTATGTCCAGTGCTATTTTTATGGACTCTAATTAATCTATCCTTCCCCAAACTGTCATCTGATTTTCATGCACGCATGAATACACAAGGACATTTAGTATTTTTATTCAGGTTAAGTATAATAAAGCTACTCAGTTTTCTTTGTTAATCTCATAAAAACATGTCTCATAGTCCATTTATTATCACAGCACGTGGACAGTTAAACATTCACTAACCTGCTCAAGCGTATCCTTATTTTAAAAGAACCTGCTGCAGTCAAACAAAGAGAGAAGTCTGAGGGGCCATTCACCACCTCCATGATTGTGGTACTGGTGACTGATGGAACTGGTAACCACCTCCCTGAACAGAGATGATATTCCTCTATCCGCATCACCAGGACTAGCTACTTCCAACCTGGTTACATTGCCCATCTACACTCTAAACCCTCCCTCAGCTCATCTACTGCTGAAACCCTGTTTGCTTTTTAGTTCTGTGGCCATGACCAGTTTTGCAAGTTCCATAAATCTGAAAACTATCCAAACTGTGCTGCCAGAATCCTGCACAAAATCTCAATCATCACCACCACCACTGTGCTTTCTAACATACACTGCCTCCTGCGTAACAATGCCTCCATTTTAAAATTCTCATTCCTCTTTTAAATCCTTCCATGGCTTGGTCCTGCCCAATGACTGTAATCTCCTCCAGCCCAACACCCCTCCCAGGTCACTACGTTCCACCCGTTTTGGTTCCTGGTACAGCCTCAATTTCACCCCTCCAACACTGGCTGTCACATCTTCAGACACCTGAACTTTAAACTCTACAATTCTCCGCCCAAAATCCTCTCGCCTCCTACTTCATGCCACCCCTTAAAATCTCTGACGAAGTTTTTAGTGTCACAACATTATCTAATTGCTCCTGAAGTATTTTATCACATTAAAAGATGCAGCATACACCTTGGGAAAGATATTGAGGGTGTAGTATAGATTAATACATTTATTCAAGTGCAATTTCTGAGGCCATTTGGTCTATCTTACCTGTGTTTCACCAATCCAGAACAAATCATTCAGCCCTAGTTTTCCTCAATAGCCTAGAAGCTTCCATAATTTAAAAAAAAAACCTTAATGAAAGCTTCTGGGACTGCTCTCTTATGACCAGGTTATTGGAATAAAGTCATTGTCTCCCTGTTTCACCACTAAATACATAAAGTCAAAATGGTGAATTTAAATGATAAATTTGCATAAGCTAAGTAACTAAAGCATATTTTGCAAGACACACACCTTTTAGTCAATAAAACTTTCCATTCAATTTCAAATCCTCAGTCAGCTTTCTTCATTTGGATTTAAAAGGTAGTCTTGGTAATGGTGACCCTGTAATCATTGTCATTTGTTGTAAAATTCTATCTGGTTCATAGATGCCCTTTAGGGAAGGTAATCTGCCATCTTTACCTGGTCTGGCCTACATGTGACTCCAGACCCTCTGAAATGGCTTAGTAAGCCACTTGGTTCAAGGGCAGTTAAACATAGGAATCAAATGCTGGTTTTCTGGTGACATTCACATCTCATGAAGGAATAAAGGGGAGAAAAAGGAAAACAGCATCCAGGACATTAACAAGCTACTGTTTTATTTTGGAGGGTTTGGCTTCTGTTTGAGATAATTTGTCAACATCCAGCTGACATGCTTTCCAGAGTGTAACGGCCCTCAATGAGCATGCCTAGTGGAATGGTTTCAGTTTACCAGTGGATTAAGATAAGAATTAACACTGGTGAAGGTGAATAGATTAAGTGAAGCAGATAGCCTTGTACCTGCTTGTTGCAGCTGCATTCCACAATCTTTTTAAAAAGGGAAGAGATTGGAACTCAACAGAGACATTAACATGTTGGGAGACTTCCAATTAATGCTCAAACTGAACTGCTCAGATTTTAGCCTGTACAACATACATCATTACCCCATACCCACAATGGGAAACTTGCTCCACATGGAGGATTTGTGGTGAATATCAGAAATGCAATTAACAGAAAACTAGATAAATACATGAATGAGAAAGAATTAAGATTTGCTGATCAGGTTACAGGAACGATGTTGGAAGAGGTCTGTACAAGTGAGGCCAAATGACCTGTTTGCACACTGTGCACACAGTATAATTCTCAGTTATAGAAATGAAAATTCGAAGGTCTTGTGGCACAGTGATAATGCCCCTACCTCTGGGCCAGGATGCCCAGGTTCAAGTTCCACCTGCTGCAGATTTTGTCATAACACATCTGAACAGTGTGATTAAACAATCTAAAAATTAGTGTAGTATTAGAGGACTTGGCATTTAATGACCTTTCTGTAACTAAGGCTTATTTAAATATTTTTCTCCCTGTCTTCAAACTTATTCCAAAATTCTGCAATTTGATCATTTACAGTGAACCAATCCAATGTCACATGCACCAAGTACACTAAAGTTACTCAGTGCTATGTTACATTTGCATTGGTTACATTGTCAATTTAAAGACTGATATAATACATTACATCTCACTCAGTGATAACATATAGATGGGTTAACAATGTTATATACAGAAAAATCATTCAGCTCAACTATCATTTCAATTACAAATCAAAAACATTTCCAGTTTGAGCTTGATCTGTTAATGTAATAAAATCTGACAAGTTGTGAAATTTGAAGGAGCCACATAGTGAGTTAGAGCCAGATTCTACTCTTATTATAAATAGTGATTAAACTGTTCTACTCTCAGTATAGAAAGAAACGATCATAAAAACATCCACGTTGCCTTGAACACTGTTGAAGCCAATCTCCTGACTTTCTCTTGTAGTTTGTGGGTTGAACACTGGGGCCTTCCTCACCTACAGACAAGAATGAACAGTGTCAATCAATTGTTTAAATTAGACAAATCGGATTTTGAAGTAACACAGCATGAAAATGGGTTTTTGTGTTTCGCCCTCACTGTTAAAGTAAAAATATTTCCCGATATCATCAGCATAAAAATGGAATGGGTTCTAGGTACAGAAAGTGAAGGGCAGCAGTGGGGGTGGTGATGAGGCAACAGTGGTGGGGTGGGGGTGTGCTGGAAAGATGCTTAGCCATGATCAAATTGAATGGATCAGACTCGACAGGAAAAGGTGTACAACTATTCAGCCTACATTTTGTGTATTAAAAGCACCAAAAGATTGAAGCTGGCTGTGCTAATGCTTGCTTGATTGTGTTTTCTTTTTGTTTAAACCTCTGTAAGAACAATGAAAGAGATAACAGATGAAATGAGACCTTAGGACTTGTTTGTAAAAATAAAGGCTAAGATGAATGTGAAACTACAAACTTGCAGTAGTTAAGTTATTGACAGAAATGTGAATTTTAGAACCCTTCGAAAGCTGAGAACCAACTATAGGTGCCTGTATGCTGGGTCTGAGGAGGTCCGTAAAGTACCAATGACCTGAAACTGATCCAACCATATTGACCAGGATAGACTAATATGATATGGCTAGTGTGTGTTGATGGGGATAAAAGGAAGAGACTACAGAATATGTTGACAAACAAAAGGAGACAGACTGCATCAATAAAAGGGCAAAAGGAGGAAACTGTGCCCCAGAGAGCTCAGAATCATTGGAGCCAAGTCTTACTGTGAATCCACTAAAGTATTAACTTTATATTTCTTTGTGATATTTAAACTCTGAGTTGATTAAGGAACAGGAGTCTATACTTTCTAGGCCAGAAATGATCACATATCCTGTGTGAAACATGTTGGTCTGTCATGGTGTTCACTTACAGAGCTATTTCAGAGACTCTAACAAGACGTCAGAAAGACGCTGAACTGTGCAATGCTTTCACAATGCCTGTACAATACGTACAGTGGTTAAATCAACCTCTGACTGTACCACTTCAACTACTTTCATCTTCCATTAATTTATCTTATCCAAGAAAGTTTTCCTGATGTAGTGGAATAAAAAAAAACAAATAAACTGAAGTAAAAAATGAAAGAACTGCGGATGCTGGAAATCAGAAACAAACAGAAATTGCTAAAAAGTGCTCAGCAGATCTGGCAGCTTCTAAAGTACATGGAAGGATGTGTTCAGGCCCTAAAATTATTGAACTCAATATTGAATCCTGAAGGCTGCATGGTCCCCAAGGGTAAAAATGAGGTGCTGTTCTTACAGCTTATACTGAGCCTCACTGGAGCATTGCAGCAAGCCTGGGACATATGTTGGCCAGGGAGCACGGTGATGTGTTGAAGTGGCAGGCAACAGGAAGCCTGCAGTCATCTTGGCAGACAGAACACAGGTATTCCACAAAGTGGTCGCCCAGCCTGTGTTTTATCTCCCCAGTGTAGAAGAGTCTCTGAAATTGAAGTAATCTGTGCATGTGTGTGTGTTCCCTTGAAGAAACTACAGCCCTGAACTTCCAGAGTGCTTCCCCTCGTCTCTCACTGTAGCTTCAACAAGAGGCTACAAAGCACCAGAGGAAAACAGCTGTCTGAGAGGGCTGGGATTACCCTGGTACAATTTCAGGGCCTATACTTTTATGCAGTTTAGAAGTTAACCCACTTTTGGAGCAAAGTCCCTAGTGTCGGTGAAGTGTCATAAGATATCACAAGATCATTAAATATCACAATACATTCTGCAACATCTCCAGCATAATAGAGCTGTTCTAGCTACAACCTTGTATACCACTGCCACATGCACTGCCAGTTGAGAGGGTGTCTATGTGACAAAGGCCACAGCATCAGATGCTCACTCCAGCTACATCCCCACATCTGCGTTGTATGACCCTGACTCTGTGCTGGGCACTGTCACACCAAACACACTGAGCTGGGCAGCAAAGGTGCTGAGCAATGAGAACGGTGAAGCCTACACAATTTTCCTTCACTCTGCTGAAACCAGAGTTTTGAAGAAGGGCCACTGGACCTGAAACATTAACTCTGATTTTTCTCCACAGATGCTGCCAGACATGCTGCGCTTTTCCAGCAACTTCTGTTTTGTTTCAATTCTAGTTACGCTCCGGTACCTCGCTCACCTGAGTGGTCAGTCTGTCTGTTGAGGTGAATGGAATCTATCTCATGGGACTGATTCTTCAAACAGCTGGATGAGAATACTCCCAGTATCCATGGCTTATCCATAAATTAACACTGAACCACAATCTCATTATATAATTGCTGTGTCGGAACGGTAGAGTATTAGTTTATAAAACAAGAATGACTATACTTCCACAGTAATGCACTGGTTGTGGAGCAATGAAATTCACTGTATAAAGGCAAGCTCGTTCTGCTTTTTGCTACAAATGAGGTGAGTGGCACTGAGTGCTCTGTGATGTTTCCTGTTGGAGCCTGCACACTGTTCTTTGGGGGCACAGCCAAAAACTGAACTGGTTACAGTTACTGCACTAATTATAAAAGGCCAGTTAGTGAAAAACAACAAGTGTATGTTTATATAGAGGCATAGAGCTGTACAGCACAGAAACAGACCCTTCGGTCCAACTCTTCCATGCTGACCGGATATACCAAATAAATCTAGTCCCATTTGCCAGCATTTGGTCCATATCCCTCTAAACCCTTCCTATTCATATACCCACCCAGATGTCTTTTAAATGTTGTAATTGTACCAGCCTCCACCACTTCCTCTGGCAGCTCATTCCATACATGCACCACTCTCTGCATGAAAAAGTTGCCCCTTAGGTCCCTTTTAAATGTTTTTCTTCTCATTTTAAACCTGTGCCCTCTAGGTTTGGACTTCCCCACCTCAGGGAAAAGACCTTGTCTATTCACCCTATCCGTGCCTCTCATGATTTTATAAATCTCTATAAGGTCACCCCTCAGCCTCTGACACTCCAGGGAAAATAGCCCCAGCCTATTCAGCCTCTCCCTATAGCTCAAACCCTTCAACCCTGGCAACATCTTTCTAAATCTTTTCTGAGTTTCACAACATTCTTTCCTATAGCAGGGAGACCAGAATTGCATACAGTATTCCAGAAGGGGCCTAACCAATGTTCTGTACTGCAACGTGACCTCCCAACTCCTATACTCAATGCACTGACCAATAAAGGCAAGCATACCAAATGCCTTCTTCACTACCCTGTCCACCTGCGACTCCACCTTCAAGGAACCAAGAACCTGCACGCCAAGGTCTCTTTGTTCAGCAGCATTCCCCAGGACCCTACAATTAAGTATATAAATCCTGCCCTGATTTGCCTTTCCAAAATGCAGCACTTCACATTTATATAAATTAAACTTGGGGCGGCACGGTATTCTCTCTAACACAAAAGTTAAATTTAAAAAAATGAAATCACAGCAGGAGTAGACTATTCAGCCCCTTGACCTCATTCCAAAATCAATAAGCTGATAGCTGATGTTTATTTTTGGAACCCTATATTCCCATCAATCCCCAATAACCCTTAATTTACCTGTCTAACAAGAATCTATCTTCCTCTGCATTAAAAAGAGAGACAGCTCTGACTTTACTGCCTTCTGAGAGAGTTTCGAAGTTGCACAACCTTCCAACAGATTAAAATTTTCCTTATCTCTGTCCTAAAAGGACAATACAGAGGTCCCTGATTAATGAATGCAAACTCACATGCGGGTGTAATTTTGAATACCCAACGTACAGACATTTCCTGCACTTATGAGCGGTTGCTTTACATTGTCTGCATTGTGCTCCTACTTGCGTCCAATTCAACTTGTGAACAGACTACAGACTGGAGCCTATTTGCAACCCAGGAACTGTCTCTAGTAGCAAATTCACACTCTGGTTCTACTCATACTTCAAACAATCATTTCTAGGCGAATTCTTCAATCTTAATTGTATTTATTTATGTGGTCTTGTAGACTAAAAAAAAAACAAGTTGTAAGAGGCACTACATACCAGTAATGATGTTGTGAGTGTGTCTCTTTGGCTGAAGTTCAGCAATATGAGCAGATGTTGGATGATGGGCTCTGATACCATGCACTGAGGAATAAGAAGTGCAGTAACTTGCCCTGCCACTAGTAGCGGTGGTAATTTCTTTCATTGCTAGGCCCTGTGTGTTTTTCATTCGATTTTCAACAACTGTTTTGTTCAGAATTCTGCGCTTTTTAAAAAAGAACAAATTTTAATATTTGCTTGAAAGTTGCACTTCCTCCAGAATACACAAAATTGGAAAATGAATTTAAAATAAATCTATGGAAGATTTGTTTACTATTAAGCCTAATATTCACTTTAACCAATAAAGCCTAATAGTAACAGCTGGATATAAAACTTTGAAACTGGAAGTAATGTTGAAAGCCTCAAAAAGTAGAGAATAAATAAATAAAAAAAACTAACTATTCTCTCCAGGCACCGTCTGTAAATACAGTTTTTAAACCTTCTGCCTGCACTGCTGGACCACAAAATCTCTGATCACTGTCTTCATCTTATTTCCTTTTGCTGGGTGACTCAGAGACAGCAGTAACTCACCATGGCTCCTCCAATAGCATCTTCCAGACCCACACTCTTTACCATCCAAAAGGACAAGGAAAAACCATTACCTGCAAATTCCCCTCAAACCACACACTATCCTGACACTGGGTCAACAAACCTAGAACTCTCTTCTTAATGACACTGTGCATGACCTAACCCTTTCCCCCAGAACTGCAGCATTCAAGGAGACAGCTCATCATCACTTTTAGGGCAATTAGGGAGAGGCAACAGATGTCAATCAAGGCAACAATACCCACATCCCAGCAAATAACGGAAAAAGGAAATCCTGCCAATCAAATCCACTTTAACTTTTGAACTTCTTTTTAAAAGAAATCTTTTAATAAACTGATTTCCTCTGCAGGTTGATTATCTAATTTTAAAACGTCTTATTTGTTGAGCATCTATGGACCTTTGGGGCAGTTGTAAACATTTAATCATCATTCTTCCTGTGAATGTTTCTTCCTGGTTTCACTTAACCAGTCTCTCAATTCTTCAATCATGATGCCTGGTTGTAACTTTCTACTCCCAAGGCCAACTTTTACATCAATTTAGAATCTTTTTATTAAAAGAAAGTGAAGAAATACTGAATTTTGTGCAACTCCTGTTTCTAAGAATAATCCTGTTCTCACCAAATCAGAATGCTTATTGTATATAATTCCATTCAAACATTTATTTATTTAATTTCTATAGTTTGCTCAACGCAACTGAGGTGCAGAGAGATACAACGATTCCTTATAACATTAGTCTTGTAAAATAAATGCACTGTGAGGCTCACAGAAAGGAACTTTGTTATAGTTTGAATTAAGGACTCCAGTTGTATCATCCTCCATTGTGTTGTATAAAGGGAATCAAGATCAAGTCCAATTAAAAAGAGAAAATAAACCCAAGACTTAAATCCTAAAAATACAGGAAAATAAAACCATCTGACAATGCAACAATGACATTTTTCAGAAAAGGTTGCACAAAGATGTTCACAGTTAGGGCACAAAGGTACCAAGTGGCCAGATTGTGTAATTATTGAGTGACAAATTGATGTAGGCAAAACACATGGGGATGTAAGAAATTATAAGGTGGAAAAATTGGCTCAAAAAACTGGAACGAACACCATACGAAGTCATAGTGCAGGGAGGAAGTGAATGTCAATGCAAGATTTGTAATTAAATTAACCAGAAGATGAATGATATAATGTTCTTTAAAGTTTGAAAAGTACAACCCCATATTTAAATTAACAAGGAAGTTTAAGAGTGCATGGGTTAGAATTTATAGCATTTGTTGTAATATTTTACTGGTGATATTTGGATATGAATCAGAAAGAAATAATCAATCAATCAATAAAACAGCTTATGCAGAAATTAACATTTTAAAATAATTAAAATACAAAGCTAATTAACAAGTTAACGTGGAGCAAAACCTATTAAGTAATTTCAAACTGCGAAATATACAGTATTATAAAGCACAGTCATCTCAAGTTCTCCAACTTACTGGTATAACTTCTTTAACAAAAAAGGCTTCTCTGTGTGTAGTTAGATGTTCTTTTCCATCTGTATTCACACCAAGGTGTTTTATTTCATCAGGGTAACCAGAATATTTGATTATAGGTTGAGCTTTCTGACTAATAAAGTACTAGTGAAAGAAATGAAAATATGTTAACTCAAAAAAGAAAAATATAAAGAGAATATTTTGGTAGTTTAACTACTTTTAAAATATTAAAACCTATTTCCAAGCTCAGGATCTTTTTTATTAATCAGCTGGAGAGATGTGTAACTAAGCCAAATGAAAATGGCAGGTGAGTATAAGTGAGTAAAGTTGGGGGAAAACAAGATTGACTGACGAAAACAAACCACGCAAATGGAAAAAGTACAGGGATGGAGGTAAGTAGAGACGGTGATGGGAGACGAGGCACTGGGATGAGGGTGGTGGTTGGTAGTGATGTGGGAAGAACAGGGCAGTTAGGACAGACTAAGATGCTTCTGTTCCATATATATCTTCCACATCCCATGGAGATGTGGCATAGCAACAATTCTGAGTGAAATAGTGGAACTGATGGCAGCAAAGTGAAAAGGCAGACTCTAAACACATTCTGAATGCTGAGCTTAACGCCCTAATGACAACATTCTGCCCAAAGTAAAAGGCAATAGTCAGAATAAGACCACACAGAGAGAAGCAGATCAGGAGAAAGACAGACCGAGAGCCAAGACAAAGTCAAAGAAGATGCAGAAAAGATGGCTAAGAAAATTTATAACAACTCTGCTCTGACATACCCCTGCCACAGAAGAACTACTAGCTAAGTTGCAGTGGAAGTGAGTTCGATTCTAGCCATCACACTTTTGGAAAGGTGCCAAAGAATTGGAGGGAACACAGAACAGATGGATTAGAATGGGAACAGATTGATTAGACTGCAGGTAAAGGAACTTCATTTGCATACAGAGACTGAAGAAGCTGGGACTGTTTACCACACAAGGTTTGGAGGAGATTTGATGGAGGGACTCAAAATAATAAATGATATAAATAAGACATTTTCCAGTGGCAGAAGAGTAGGTAATCAGAAGAGACAAGTTATGACGATTGGCAAAAGCATTAGAGGTGCCATTAGGAAATAACTTTTAGGTATGTTTTGAGGAAGGGTCACTGGACCCAAAACGTTAACTCTGATTTTTCTTCACAGATGCTGCCAGACGTGCTGAGCTTTTCCAGCAATTTCTGTTTTTGTTTTAGTATGGCAGATTGTTATAATTTGGAATCCGCTGCCTGAAAAGGGCAGATTCAGTAGGAACATTCAAAACAGAAATGAATAAATACTTTAAGGGAATAAAAAATGAGAATGCAATGAGAAAACATCAAGGCATGAAATTAACTGGGCAGCTACCAAATAGCTGGCCCAGGAATAACGGATCAAATGGCTGCCTTCTGTGCAGTATAATTCCAATAGTTTAAAAATTATGTGATTTACTAATAGTAATGCAAGAACTACCATGTATAACATAAAGATTCTACTCCCATTTACTAGCAGCATAGGCCTAGGGATAATGGAATTTCAGGGAGCAGAAGCTTTGTGCCAATATCCACCAGGAGCATGTTGCCCAGAATTTTCTACCTTGTTGTGTCAGTGGAGAAGAATAGTTCTGCTCCCTATCACGCAATCTTCAGGATCAGTCTTAGTTTCATGTATTTGTGGACAAGTGTGTCCAGCAACACAAATTCTGCTCATATACGGCTGCTTGCACACAGTTACAGCGTCACCTCCATACAGCACACATCAGACACATAAATCCACTGCTTTGCTTCTTGAAGCTGGGCTGATTTGCTTCCACTTTCAGAATAAGAATCTGATTTTTGTCTTCCTATTGTCTCCTTTTCTCAACACAAATTAATGTCCAACTAACTTCAGTGGAATCGTTCCACCTGTAGTGATTATTGATGGATTATTATTTAGAAGTCACTGCTCCTGCACACAAGACTGCTGGAAGTTTAAACCACAGATGGAAACATAGGTTGTGGAATGTTGTTAGAACCCAAGTTCCATGTCAATTTTTAAAATTTTCTTAACCTGTCCAGCACTAACTGATTATGTAGATCAGAAGGTAGCCATTTGAAGCAATGGATTGGTCAGTTAAACATGGAATATTGAGCTGTCTTGAGGCATAGTTCACTCATCAATATCCAATTTTGGCACAGGTCCAGTGCCAGAATATAGCTGGTCAACGTTATTGTGCACAAGAAAAGCCCTATAGATGATGGCATATTTATGGCAAGAAAGGTGACTGTCTCAACAGATTATTCTCACAATGGACAGCTGTAATGTTTGAGAATCTCTTTGTCAGATTGGCATGAATGTTTCTTGTAGAGGAAGGCGGTTACCCTTTCCTTCTTCAGTATTCTGTATCTCTTGTTGATCTCCTAGCCAAGAACAAGGGCTATGTCATACATTATGAAGAACACTATGTCAATTTTTTAAGGCCATGGCATATTCAAGATTTTTCTGATTGATTCAAGCATCTGAAGTGTTCTTTCACCTTGTCTAGAATGTGTTTAAAGATGATTCTAGGTGATAACCAGGTCCTCATTTTAGTGCAGTTCACCTGCAGTTACAGAAACTACGCCAATGTGATCAGATAATCCTGCAGACATGAGCCTTTGTTTTTGAAGGATCACCCAGAAACTTCAATAAAAACCAAAAAAGTGGTGATAATACTCAGCAAATATGGCTGCAACTTTGGAGAGAAACAGAGTTAACATTTCAAGCCGATGACCTTTCACTTAGAGATGTGCCTTGCTTTTGAAGAGATGTTATTAATGAACAGCACTCAAACACCAGGACAGTAAGGTGAGAATCCTGTTTCTGCACAAAATAGCACTGCTATATAACATCGGTGCTGGCAATCCATTGAAGATATCATTAAAGTTGGTCACTCTAAGAGAATATGATTGCTTGCTTCATGCATCTGTGCATAGATTTTTAATTTAAATTGCAGATATTCCTATGAAAGCATGACCTCATCTGTGGCACAGATATTAAAGCAGCTGGTAATCCTAATTTTGACTAGAAGAACAATTTGTACAATGTATGTGGGTTGCAGCATGTTGTGTCACATTCTGACAGCTTGCTTTCTGAAGATAAGACCTTTCCTCAGTTAAATGCAAACGGGCGTGTCTCAGCCCGTATAATCTGGCCTACTGATATGGGTAAGTAGGTGGGTACCACTCTGCTATTCTGCAGCATCACCAGCCTGGCCTTCTGACACTCTTTGGAAACACTGAAAGAAGGCTGAGAACTGACCAATAGAAAAGTGGATTTTGCAAATGTCTACCTCACAGCAAACGGTAGAAAGGCTGATAGTACACCAGTTGAAGTTCATCTGCTCAGCTCTTGAATTTCCTTTCATCTTTTCCCTGGTGCCAAGCAATTGGGATGCTTGCTGTGTAAGGATAGATAACCACTGAATACTAACGGAAATAGCAGAAAATAGGACAGGTGACTTCACCATGCTTGTAGCACTACATAAAATAGCAATCACCTCGAAATCAAATAGGCTGGTTAACTTCAGAAATGATAGTAGCATTTAACTGAGTGAAGCCCTGGGTAAATTTTATGCCCCTGCCCATATGATTATAGTCCCAAATGAGAAATCTGGACTTTTATCCCAAAGTCATGCAGTGACGTACAGAGAAACAAATTAAAATATCACTCCCACATTAATATGTATTTAACAATCCTTTAATCCTTCCTATTCATGTATTTGTCCAGGTGTTTCTTAAATGCTGCTATTGTGCTGCTTCCACCACCTCCTCTGGCAGTGTGTTCCAAGGACTCACCACCCTTTGTGTGAAAAACTTGTCTTGCACATTTCTTTTAAACTTTCCCCCTCCACAGCTTGAACCTGTGTTCCCTACTAACTGACCCCTCCATCCTGGGAAAAAGCCTCATAGTTTGCAATCTATCCATGCCATTCACTATTTTATAAACTTCTATCAGGTCGCCCCTCAACCTCCTGTGTTCCAGTGAAAATAAACCCAGTCTATCCTTCTTCATAGCTAAAAACCCCCACACCAGGCAACATCCTGGTAAACCTTTCCTGTTCCTTCTCCAAAGCATCCACATCCTTCTGGTAGTGTGGTGACCAGAACTGTATGCAATATTCCAAGTGTGGTCTAACTAAAGTCCTGTAAAGCTGCAGCATAACTTGCCTATCCTTATACTCAATGCCCTTTCTAATGAAGGCAAGCATGCCATCAGCCTTTTTTACTCCTTATCTACCTACGCTGCCACCTTCAGTGATCTGTGGACCTGAATGCCCAGATCCCTCTGCATATCAATACTCCTAAGGGTTCTGCCATTCACTGTATAAATTCCACCTGTACTTGACCTTCCAAAATGCATCACTTCACATTTGTCCAGATTAGACTCCACCTGCCATTTTTCTGCCCATGCCTCCAACTGATCTTTATCCAGTTGTATCCTCTGACAATCCTCCTCACTATCCGCAACTCCACCAATCTTTGTACCATCCACAAACTTACTAATTAGACCAGCTACAGTTCCTCCAAATCATTTATGTAGATCACAAACAGCAGAGGTCCCAACACTGATCCCTGTGGAACATCACACAGAGTTGAATCAATGGTGCCAGGAATCAAAAACTTCAGAGACTCAAAAAGTGCAGAAACTGGGGTGTTTTCTTTGAAGCAAGCAAGGGGTTACAGGAGGTTGGAAGAGAACAGGAGTATGCTTTATTAAACAAAGCACGTTGTCGTAATTCAAATAGGCAAGGCCGGTGTAAGCAGGTTCAACAGTGACAATCAAAAGGGAATTGGGTTTTAAAATAGTTGCAGCTTTACAGGTCACAGAGAAAGAGGAAAGGAGAGGTGTTAATTGAATGGTTCTACAATGTTAACAGGGGAAGAATGAATAAAACTAGCCTCCTTTTAAGCTGAATCAGCTCACAATTGTACTATTGTGAAGGAAGTTTATCTGTGCTAGTAGTATAGGGAATTGTTCAGAGAAGGTGACTTTGTATTTGTTTCACACCAAAATCTGCTCTCCCTCAAGTGAGATATGAACCTACAATCCCTGACTTGGAAAGTAAGTTTTAATTATTAATTAGGCCTTAGGGATTTTGCAGTATTCCAGTTTTGAACTTATCCCTTTACCACCATGTAACCACTACTAAATCTGCTGACTCTGTGGGCCAGCTCTTTATTTACAAAATTACATTGCATCAGTTCCAAAGATCTTGACAATACTGCAGCAGGATTGAATGTACATTCGCAATTAGCACCAGTTGATTATTAGGCAAAGTGTATATTCAATGTGAAAAGCAAGGGTCTTTGCAAAAAAACATCCTGCATTATGAATACTGAATTTTGCATGGAGCTTCTATTTTGAAGTGTGTACAGACGGTCATACAGTCATACAGCACGAACACAGACCCTTTGGTCCAACTTGTCCATGCCAACCAGGTTTCCCAAACTAAACTAGTTCCATTTGCCTGTGTTTGGTCCATATCCCTCTAAACCTTTACTATTTATGTACCTGTACAAATGTCTTTTAAAAGTTGTAATTGTATCCGCCACTACCTCTGCCAGTTCATTCCATGTATACACCACCCTCTGCGTGAAAACATTACCCCTCAGGTCCCTTTTAAATCTTCCCCCTCTCACCCTAAACCTATGACCTCTAGTTTTGAACTCCCCTACCCCTAGGGCAAAGACCTTGGCTATTCACATTATCTATGCCATTCATGATTTTATAAACCTCTAAAATGTCACCTCTCAATCTCCTACACTCCAGTGAAAGAAGTCCCAGCCTATCCAGCCTCTCCTCATAACTCAAACCCTCCTTCCCGGCAACATCCTTTTAAAATTTTTCTGAACCCTCTCCAATTTAACAATATCCTTCCTATAACAGGGTGACCAGAACCGTACACAATACTCCAAAAGTGGCCTCACTAATATCCTGTAATATCCTGACATTCCAACTCCTATACTCAAACATTTAAGCAATGAAGACAAACATGCTAAACATTTTCTTAACCACCCTGCCTGTCTTCACTGGAGTGTAGGAGGTTGAGGAGTGACTTTATAGAGGTTTATAAAATCATGAGGGGCATAGATAAGTTGAATAGCAAAGGTCTTTTTCCTAGGGTAGGGGAGTTCAAAACTCAAGGGCATATTTTTAAGGTGAGAAGAAAAAGCGGGACTGAGAGACAATTTTTTCACACAGAGGGTGGTTCCTACGTAGAATGAAGTGGTGGATGCAGGTACAGTTACAACATTTAGAAGATATTTGGACCTGAACATAAAGGGATAAGGCCAAACGCAGGCAAATCGGACTAGTTTAGTTTGGGAAACTTGGTCGGCACGGACAAGTTGGACCAAAGGGTCTGTTTCCATGCTACGTGACTCTATGACTCTACTCTCAATGATGCTACTTAGTAAAGCACATACCTTCAGCAACACAGTATTAAATCAACATTATTACAATAATGCAGCTTATCCTCTCAGTTTTTCCCTGCATGGTTGATCCTCTGTAACTTAAAAAGATGAAAGTAAAGTTTTTCCATTAAGAGCTTCCATTCACCAAGGAAAGTCAGGCTAATTCATAGAACATAGAACATAGAACATTACAGCGCAGTACAGGCCCTTCAGCCCTCGATGTTGCGCCGACCTGTGAAACCAATCTGAAGCCCATCTAACCTAAACTATTCCATTATCATCCATATGTTTATCCAATGACCATTTAAGTGCCCTTAAAGTGGGCGAGTCTACTATTTTTGCAGGCGGGGCATTCCACGCCCTTACTACTCTCTGAGTAAAGAACCTACCTCTGACATCTGTCCTATATCTATCACCCCTCAATTTAAAGCTATGTCCCCTCGTGCTAGCCATCACCATCCGAGGAAAAAGGCTCCCACTGTCCACCCTATCTAATCCTCTGATCATCTTGTATGTCTCTATCAAGTCACCTCTTAACCTTCTTCTCTCTAACGAAAACAGCCTCAAAACCCTCAGCCTTTCCTCATAAGACCTTCCCTCCATAACAGGCAACATCCTGGTAAATCTCCTCTGCACCCTTTCCAATGCTTCCACATCCTTCCTATAATGCGGTGACCAGAACTGTATGCAATACTCCAAGTGCGGCCGCACCAGAGTTTTGTACAGCTGCAACATGACCTCATGGCTCCGAAACTCAATCCCTCTACCAATAAAACCTAACATACCGTACGCCTTCTTAACAACGCTATCAACCTGGGTGGCAACTTTCAGTGATCTATGCACATGGACACCGAGATCTTTCTGCTCATCCACACTACCAAGAATCTTACCATTAGCCCAGTACTCTGTATTCCTGTTACTCCTTCCAAAGTGAATCACCTCACACTTTACCGCATTAAACTCCATTTGCCACCTCTCAGCCCAGCTCTGCAGCTTATCTATGTCCCTCTGTAACCTGCAACATCCTTCCGCACTATCCACAACTCCACCGACTTTGGTGTCATCCGCAAATTTACTAACCCATCCTTCTACGCCCTCATCCAGGTCATTTATAAAAATGACAAACAGCAGTGGCCCCAAAACAGATCCTTGAGGTACACCACTAGTAACTGAACTCCAGGATGAACATTTCCCATCAACCACCACCCTCTGTCTTCTTACAGCTAGCCAATTTCTGATCCAAACCGCTAAATCACCCTCAATCCCATGCCTCCGTATTTTCTGCAATAGCCTACCATGGGGAACCTTATCAAATGCTTTACTGAAATCCAAATACACCACATCAACCGCTTTACCCTCATCCACCTGTTTGGTCACCTTCTCGAAGAACTCAATAAGGTTTGTGAGGCACGACCTACCCTTCACAAAACCGTGTTGACTATCCCTAATCAAATTATTCCTTTCTTGATGATTATAAATCCTATCTCTTATAATCCTTTCCAACACTTTACCCACAACCGAAGTAAGGCTCACTGGTCTATAATTACCAGGGTCGTCTCTACTCCCCTTCTTGAACAAGGGGACAACATTTGCTAGTCTCCAGTCTTCTGGCACTATTCCTGAAGACAATGACGACATAAAGATCAAAGCCAAAGGCTCTGCAATCTCCTCTCTAGCTTCCCAGAGAATCCTAGGATAAATCCCATCCGGCCCAGGGGACTTATCTATTTTCACACCTTCCAGAATTGCTAACACCTCCTCCTTATGAACCTCAATCCCATCTAGTCTAATAGACTGTATCTCAGTATTCTCCTCGACTACATTGTCTTTTTCCTGTGTGAATACTGACGAAAAATATTCATTTAGCACCTCTCCTATCTCTTCGGACTCCACGCACAACTTCCCACTACTGTCCTTGACCGGCCCCAATCTTACTCTAGTCATTCTTTTATTCCTGACATACCTATAGAAAGCTTTAGGGTTTTCCTTGATCCTACCTGCTAAAGACTTCTCATGTCCCCTCCTGGCTCTTCTTAGCTCTCTCTCTAGGTCCTTCCTGGCTAACTTGTAACTCTCAAGCGCCCTAACTGAGCCTTCACGCCTCATCTCTACATAAGCCTCCTTCTTCCTCTTGACAAGAGATTCAACTTCTTTAGTAAACCACGGTTCCCTCGCTCGACCACTTCCTCCCTGCCTGACAGGTACATACTTCTCAAGGACACGCAGTAGCTGTTCCTTGAACAAGCTCCACATTTCAATTGTGCCCAGCCCCTGCAGTTTCCTTCTCCATCCTATGCATCCTAAATCTTGCCTCATCGCCTCATAATTGCCTTTCCCCCAGCTATAACTCTTGCCCTGCTTTATATACCTATCCCTTTCCATCTCTAAAGTAAACGTAACCAAATTGTGGTCACTATCACCAAAGTGCTCTCCTACCTCCAAATCTAACACCTGGCCTGGTTGATTACCCAGTACCAAATCCAATGTGGCCTCGCCTCTTGTTGGCCTATCTACATACTGTGTCAGGAAACCCTCCTGCACACATTGGACAAAAACTGACCGATCTGAAGTACTCGAACTATAGCGTTTCCAGTCAATATTTGGAAAGTTCATATCTAACAACCTGCTCTGAAAACTCTTCACATTTTGACAGCTGTGATGAATTGCCTCACAGCAGCCTAGACGATCCACAACGTTCTGAAGACTCTATGTCCTGATGTTAACAGTTCCATTAAAAGAAATCCAGGATCTGAAGCGAGATTTTATCAAAAACTGAACAGTTCTGTCTTTGGCTATACCTTATGAATATTCAAGGTTCTGTTGAAGTATGGCCATAAGTTTGTGAGATATATTATTAATCTCTTCATCTATAAATAGGGACAAAAAAACATTATTTTTCCTCAACTTCAGTGATGAAGGTAACAAAATTGACCATAATTTATTTCAGAATAATATGTTGTAACAAATAATGACATTACAGTATATTGAAATAGTACCAACATTTAAAAAAAAGATGTTTGTTTGTTCTTGCAGGTCTCTAAATTTTAATTTTCTATTCATTAGTGGCATGCAATTATAAAGAAATTGACAGTGTTTGGTGTAGGAGTCTCCATGGACTGTGGCAGGAAAAGCCATAGCAACCAAAATTTAAACACCGAGCACATTTTAAAATGCTCACATATGGAATGTCCTATACAAATGATCAATATTATACTCTCGTGGGTTGAACAATGCACCTCATTAAAAGTTATACTCAGTGTCATTGCCATGTGTTATGGATATAAACTAGGAAGGTAAAAAGGAGAATTGAGAAAAATTGATTTGAGTGCAAAAGAAAGTGCTTAAGGCAAAAACAGTTCTGACCAAGAACATTCAATGCCATGTTTATTATCAGAGTTAATTTATATAATTCATAACCTTTCTTTCAGGAAGCTTACTTGCTTATAGGAGCTTGTATAATCTGATACTGCAGATTTTCTTCCCAATGTCAATGTACTTTTATGCATAGCTCTGGCTCCAAGGTGGCTCACAGGCTGCATCTCCTTCGCAACATTTGTCCTGTAAGGTCGGTCCCTGAGAACAGTCATTTCCTTGGCCTGGTCAGTAAGAATTGTGTCGGTGCAGCAGCCTTTGCCAAAACCAGTTAATATTTGTGTCCATTCATGATTTGACATCTTGCAAAATTAAGCTGTAAGTAGGACATAAAGATATTGGATTAAATTTGCTTTTTAAGTTAAAAATATTCAAATTGTGTAATTTTCTGATTTTTAAAAGTTTTATTGCTAAATAGCATTTGATTTGTGTTGTACAGTTCATGAGGGACATTATAAATTGCTAATGGAAAGAATTATAGATGGCTGACTAATAATGTTGAAATTTATTTAGTTTTTTTTTCAACATTTTAAGTTACTAATGTGGAGCTCAAGTGATTCCAAGAATTCTGTCTGCATGGTTAGTCATTATACTTAAGTTTCTTCAACTCACTAAGTAAAAAGCTGGAAAGAACAAAATGCTTAATGCTAATATTTATCTATAAATCCTAAATTCAATGCATATTTACCATATTTTGTAAAAACTGGTGTAAACAAACAGAAGACAGTCATCTCATGCTGCTTTCTGTTGATCTAGAGATAAAAAATTATCAACACCTCTTAACCTTCAAATATCTGTCAAACAACGATTCCTGGTTAAGCTCAGGATTTACAGCATTTAATCTATGTGGCCTTGGAGAAAGATGACAAGTGCAACACAGCTGTCAAACAAGAACAGAAATTGCTCAGCAGGTCTGGCAGCATCTGTGGAGAGAAAGCAGAGTTAACACTTTGGGCCCAGTGACTCTTTTTCAGAACAGTCAGTGAGAATTCAGTTCTGAGGAAGGGTCATTGGACTCAAAGTTCTGATTTTGTTTTCTCTCCACAGGTTCTAATGGACACACTGAGTTTTTACAGCAATTTCTGTTTTTGTTTCAGATTTCTATCATCTGCTGTTCTTTGTTTTGCTGTAATGAAACTGACCATATCCTGCTGGTAAGTTACAATATGTACGGTCAATCACTCCCATCATTAGGAAGCAATGGCCTAAATTTAGTGGCAGAAACAAGAACGTGGCTATCGTTGTTATCACTATTGGGGACTAAATCAAACAACATGTTGCTTTCTGAGTTATTCTGTCAGATGTCCTGCTGTTCCAGAAACTGGAGTAAACTGGTATCTTGTGAGAGACATTGGATTCAAATGCAAAAGGATATGAATTAAGTATATAAGTGATGGATACTCAATAAAAGTAATGGAAAAGAAATCCATTCAAGTGGAATTGATTTTTAAAACAGATAAATTAAGTCTCACTAAAACCCAAAAGAACTGCAGATACTGGAAATCAGAAACAAAAACAAAACAAATTGCTGGAAAAACACAGCAGGTCTGGCAGCATCTGTAGAGTGAAAGCACAGCTAATGTTTCAGATCAGTGATACTTCTTCAGAACTGTAAGTCTTACTCACCTCCAAGAAATCAGTCTTGCACTGAAATTAACTTAGAAGTGTGGTGTGTCATTCTCACGTGGGCTTTGTATCCAAGTAGAAATGCCCATTAGTTATCCTCGAGACCCCAGTTCTATCCTATCTTAGAATTAAATGTGTGATTTACCAAAACCATTTATAACCTGATATTCTCAACAACTTCCTGAGAGTCACTAACTACTGTAAGGATAGATACTATTGCCATTATCGCCAAATGTGAGCATCTTACACTGTCTTTCCAGAAAAACAAACAAGACCTCTCTTTAATCTTTAACAGCCATTCATCTGGGCCTGTTGTTAAGCAGATTTCAGAACAGGTCATTCAACACTGCAAACCCCCCCTTCATTTTATCCTTCCAAAACAGAACAATCTTGTAAATCTCAGTTGTATTAAAGAGGGAGAAAAAGACAAAAAAAATCTAAAATTTGATAAGATTTCCAGCAATTCAGTATCTGAAGAAGTGAAATGTCATGTTTTTATTTATTCACTGGGCCACAGTTACTTATTGGCAATTATATTGGCAAGATATTGATGGTGGGGAACTTGGCAATGTAATAGCAAGGTGAGGGAGTTAAATTCTCTCTTGTTGCAACGGACATGGCTGCTACTTGTCTGGTATGAATATTACTTGATATTATCATCCTGAGACTGGATGTTCTCCAGAACCTGTTACAAGTCAGCATTGTCTATTTCATTATCTGAGGAATTGCAAATGGAGCTAAACACAGTTCACTTGATAGTGAACAACCCCAAGTCTGACCTAATGATGGAGGGAAGGTCATTTTTGAAGCAGCTGAAGAAATCTGATCCTAATACACTGTTGTGAAGAATTGCTGTAGTATGTCCAGAGGCTAGAATGATGCGTCACTTTGATTCCGTTAGTTCAGATTGGATTTGAACCAAGGGGCAGGAGAGTTTCCTAGTCCACAGAACTTTCCAATGTTGCTGTTAAATATTGTTTTTTTTTCCAGATCAAAGTCAGAATTGGAAAGCAGAAACAAACAAATATGAAGCAGGAAAGTGTTAACTAGGCAGTAAACTGAAACCTTCAATGTCACAACTCTCGCTGAACCAAAGTTGATATTACAGGTGATTCCAAAGCCTGGTGTTTCTAGTAAAAACACATGTCTCTACACAGCAGGCAGATGGCTTGAATTTTACTCACAGCAACATAATGATTTGATTGATAGGGCTCCGTACGACTATCATTTTCAAGTGGAAGTACCTTTACATTCTAGTGATCACTTAGCTTTTTGGCTATAAGCTTCACTGATAGCATACACAGTTTTTCTTGATGAATGTAGAACAATAAAGAAAAACTGTCTTAGTTCATTCTGACAATATTTTTGACTTCTCCACACATACTAATGATTTGCACAGTGAGCCTCCCAGTTTAAGACACTTCAGCAGCTGGTCTGCCCTGACATTCAACTCACCAGCTTTCCACTCAGCTTACAGACATTCAACAGGTGCTGGACACTAACTCTCAACACTCAGCACTCTCCATTTCCACAACCAACAGATTACTGTAATAATACAGGATCTGAAATGTTGGAACAATAACACTTTGAACTGATAAGAGTAACCTTCACCAGTTATTATGACTGACTTGCATTAAAAACTGTGACCATAATATCGTGCTTAATTTTGTTTATACATTTGCTTGAATGCAAATATTAATTGTCAAAGTACTCTCAAATGCAGTGATCATAGAAAGTTTCTCAAAAAGGAAACAAAAAGAAGAGTAACTGGGAAGTATCACAGCCTGACTACATTGGTAAACAACTTGAGACGCTCAGACTGTTGATGATGAGATAGGTAATGAACAAAGTTGCAAGCCTCGGAAAGGAGCTTGTTAACTCCCTCCGACACAATGGGTCATGTTTCACAGATCACACTGCACCTTCAACCATCGCACAACCCAGCACTTTGTTTTCTATTTATTCACTTGTGGGGCATGGAAATCGCTGGCTAGATCAGAACTTCTTGCGCATTCTGAATTGCCCTTGAGAAGGAATGGCATACCCACCCTCTCCCCTCTCCCCTCTCACCCAGACCCCACATTGCCCTCCCTCACCCACACTCATTCCTTTTCCCCCTTGCCCACATTCCACCCTCACAGAACAGTACAGAACAGATTCAGGCCCCTCGGCCCACTATGTCTGTGCCGTCCATGATGCCATCCTAAACAAATCCCATTTATCAGAATATGGTCCTTATCCGTCTATTCCCTACCTGTTCATGTGTCTGTCCAAATGCTTCTTAAATGTTGCTACTGCATCTAGTTCTACTATCTTCCCTGGCAGTGCATTCCAGGCACCCACCACATAATGCGTAAAAATCTTGCCTCGCACATCTCCTTTAAACATTTCTCCCTCTCACCTTAAACCTATGCCCCCTTGTATTTGACATTTCCACCCTCAGAAAAAGACTCATCACTTTATATGCTTCTATCAGGTCGCAACCCCCCCCACCCCCGCCACCTTGAGATTTTCCTTAATCCTACTTGCCAAGGACATTTCATGGTTCCTTATAGCCCTCCCTATTCCTCGTTTAAGTTCTTTTCTGCTTCCTTTATATTCCTCAAAGGCCTTGTCTAATTTCATTTTCCTAACCTTACATATACTTCTTTTCTTTTTGACCGAACTTTCAATATCTCTTGTCGCCCAGGATTCCCAAATCTTACCATCCTTATCATTCATCCTCACAAGAACACAGAATGATAGAGTTGTACTGCATGGAAATGGACCCTTTGGTCCAACTCATCCATGTCAACCAGATATCCCAAATTAATCCATTCCCATTTGCTAGCATTTGGTCCATATCCCTCTAAACTCTCTCTATTGATGTAACCATCCAGATGCCTTTTAAATGTTGTAATTGTACCAGCCTCCACCGCTTCCTCTGTCAGGTCATTCTATACATGCATCACCCTCTTCATGCCCCTTAATCCCTTTTAAATCTCTCCCCTCTCACCTTAAACACATGACCTCTAGTTTTGGACTCCCCTTCACTGGGAAGAAGACTTTGGCTATTCACCCTATCCAAGTCCTTCATGATTTTATCAACCTCTATAAGGTCACCCCTCAGCCTCTGATGCTCCACCAATCCAGATAGTGGTATGGCCTAGAGAGAGCTGCCAGACACAGGGTCACAGCTGCTACCCTTGGTAGTGCCAGTGAGGAGGCCATGGCCACTCTTGGAAGACACCCCTAGGAGTATCAGCAACGTGGAGAACCCATGCTATAGGTTAGCAACTTGGACGTTCCTATGCATCTGCTGGAATTGTGTTTTTAAGTGGCAGAGCTCTTGGTTTTGAAGGTAGAGATAACACAGTGTGGAGCTGGAGGAGCACAGCAGGCCAGGCAGCATCAGAGGAGCAGGAAAGTTGACCTTTCAGGTCAGGACCCTTCTTTTCTGAACCAACCCAAAACAGCAACTTTCCTGCTCCTCTGATGCTGCCTGGTCCTCCAGCTCCACACTGTGTTATCTCTGACTCCAGCATTGGCGGTTCTTACTATCTCTGAATGATTTTGAAGGTAGCTGTCTCAGGTACTTTGATGAATTGCTGTAGTGTATCCTGTAGATAGTACATACTGCTGCTACTGAATGGTGGTGGTAGAGGGAGTGAATGATTAAGGAAGGAGGATGGGGTGACAATCCAATGGGCTACCTTGTCTTAAGACTCCTGACTCTACTAATTAATAAGACTAGTCAGAGTATTCAAACTGTACAATCTTGGAGTTGGTGCAATTTTTAAATTCATTCATGGGATAAGGGCATCACAGGCTAGGGTAGCATTTATTGCACATCCCAGAGGGCAGTTTAGAGTCAACTGCATTGCTGAGAGTCTGGAGTCACACGTAGTCCAGACCATGCAAGGATGGCAGGTTTCCTTCCCTAAAGGATAAGAGTGAACCAGATGATTATCATGAGACTCTCAATTCCAGATTTTGTTTGTTTTAAAATTTACGTTCCACCATCTGCCGTGGTGGGATTCGAACACAGGTTCCCAGAACATTATCCACATCTCTGGATTAACAGATCAGTGATAATGCTGCAAGGCCATTTACTCCTAAACCAAGAGAGTGAGTGAACAAAACTGTTCAATAAAGTGCTCAATGTGAAAAGTGTAAGGTCATCCACTTTCCATCTCACAAAGCCAAATCAGAATATTTTATTAACAGTGAAAGACTGGCAACTGTGAAGGAACTAATGGATTTAGATGTCCTTGTACATATATCATTAAAAGCCAGTGCATATTATTAAAACAAAAATCAAAAAGACTAATGGAACTTTGCACTTCATTTCAGGAAGGTTAGGACAAAGAAGAGGAATTGTTTATACAGACCCTTGTTCCACCTTCAGCTAGAATACCTATCGAGATCTGAGTCTCCAGAAAAATATTTGTCTTAGAGGGGGTTGCCCACAAATTTCCAAGAATAGTTGTATGTAAACTGGCAGTAAGGCTAGGCTATTTAAATTTTGTGTATATTTTTTGTAGTTAAGCAGGTTAATAGACGATGTAACTAAAGTTATCATAATTACAACATTGGTTGATAGGCTAGGTACAGAGAAACTACATTTCTGTGAGGTAAACTGAAACAAAAGGGTGTTCTCTTAAAATTAGAGAAATGAGGACAAATTTCCTCTCTTAGAGGATAGTGAATTCGTGGAATTCTTTCCCACAAAGGGCTGTTGAGGCTGGGTCATTAAGTACGTTTAAGCTGAAATAGACAGATTTTTAATAAACAAGGGAATCAAAAGTTATAAGGAAAATGCAGGAAACAGAAGTTGGGGATTTTCATATTAGCCGTGATGTCATTGAATGTTAGAGCAGAGTCGACGGGTAGAATGGCCTGTTTCTGCACCTACATCTTATGGTCTTAATTAGACATCTGGTATTTAGGAGTGAAATCAAAAGACGGACCCTTGTTGAAACTGTACAAGATCTTGGTGAGGCCACATTTGGAGGACTACATGTGGTTCTAGTTGCTTTGCTACAGGAAGGATATTAATAAACCAGAAGAGTGCAGAAAAGATTTACAGGGATGCTACATGGACTGGAAGGTTTGAGTTATAAGGAGATGTTGGATAGGCTGGGATTTTTTTCCCTGGAGGGTAGGAGACTGAGGGGTGGCCTTATACAGGTCTACAAAATCATGAGGTATAGGTAAGATAGATAGCCAACAGCTTTTCCCCATGGTATGGGAGTTTAAAACTTTTTTTTAAACAGAGGATGGTGAGTGTCTGGAACGGGCTACCAGAGGTATTGATGGAAGCGAGTACAATTTTGTTATTCAAGAAACATTTAGACAAGTACATGGATGGGATAAGTATGGAGGAATATGCACCAAATGCAGGCAAATGAGACTAGTTTAGTTGTGAATTCTGGGCAGCATGGGCAAGTTGGGCCAAACGGCCTGTTTCCACACTGTAGACCTCTATGACTCTAAGCACTTTGTTCACACTAAGAGTAGTCAATACATGGGAATGTTCTTCCCCCAGAGGCTGTGAATACTAGGTTAATTAAAATGGTCATGGGTGAGATAGATGGATCACGATCAAATGACTGTACAGTACCAAGAAATACCGAGTGATGTAGTAACTGAAGTTGAGGAACACCTGAGCTTTACCGAATGGATTCAGGAATGAGGAATTTTAGCTACAAAGGTCAGGTTGGAGTAAATGGGGAACATTCTCTTTTGCTTAAAGGAGGTTTGGGGAGTAAATTTAATAGCGGCACACCACATTATTACAGGTTTTGATCAGGTGGACAGACAGGTTGATAGCCTAAGTACACAGATTCAAGGTTTTGTGCAAGCTATATAGTGGTGTGGGTATGGTGAGGAAGAACATTAATTTACATAGTGAGTGGTGATGGCCTGGAATTCACTGTCTGTAAAGTAGGTTGGAGCAGAGGTAACCAATGATTTCAGAAGAAAATTGGATGAGGACCTGAGGAAAATAAACTTGCACAGATACAGGGATAGAGTGAGGGTATGACATTGACTTGGCCTACTCTATAGAAAACAGAATCAATGAGCCAAATAGCCTCCTTCAATGCCTTAAGTGACTGTCACTGGCTGGTCAGAAAATATGAAGAAGCATACTCTCAGCACAGTTTTGGCATTCCGAGCCTGCCCATGTTTTATGCTTTTCCACATCCGGCATGTCAAAACAGGAATTCTCCTTGAATACTTTTTGTACAGGCTTTGAAGGAATAATGCTAGAACAGCCATGATCACTTTTGACATCTGCCCCCACACTGCTAAATGGACAACTTGAAGGCAGTGTGATAAATTAAATGCTTATACAGAAAAGAACAAGGTTGCAGAAATAACTATGAACTTGATTGCAGAACTGTAGCTGTACATGTGCAATGGCCACAAGCGTATTTCCTTTCATCTTATGATAGATTCAAAGCAAAATCATAAGGGTAAGGGGAATTTCATAATAAGAGGAAATAATTTCAGTAAACAGGAAAATATTCCAATTTATTTTGCTCATTAATGTGTTTTGAGAAAAGGAGGTAAATTAGTCACCTGGGCGAACCAATCAGTTTCCCCTTCAGACTTCTCTTTTTAAGAGAAGGGAGGTCCAATTTGCACAAAAACAGAAGTTGTTGGAAAAGCTCAGCAGATGTGGCACCATCTGTTAAGAAAAATCAGAGTTAATGTTTCGGGTCCAGTGACCTTTCCTCAGAACACAATTTGCACAATCCTTCCGGAACACTGTTTCCTCTCAATTATTTGTAAATCTTTTCCTGTGTTAAAATTAGTGGGTATGGAAACCAGAGCTGCACACAACATGCCATATATGATGCTGCTAAGGTTTGCATGAACTTGGCATCATCTCTTTGCTTTTCAATATTGTTTCTCCAGCAAAATATACCCCAACACTTTTTTTTCACCTTTATACACTTATCAAATAGTTCCTTTTTTTTGATTTATGCATTTCGTCCGTTCATGCTTTACTCCATTTAGTTTCTTACCTTTCAGAGCATCAGTGGTCTGTCTTCTTACTCCTTCTGTCAAAATAAAGCACTTCACACTTCCCCAGGCTGCTAATTCTCCCACTTTCCAAAACTTTCCATTTCAATGGCCAGTAAACATTTTCTTTAAAAAGTAATTTAGAAGCAGAGGTTTACTTTTGAAAAGAAAACTTCTTAAACTTGAAAATATTGTAGTGATTTCTATCCTGTTTACAAGTTTGTTTTCAAAATGAACTTGCTAATCAGACTATTAGAGATACTGAGCGGAGGGGAATAAACCGTCATTAATCTATTTAACAAGTGAAAGATAATGAGCTTCTGTGCATTTATCCTTCACAACTGAAGGGGAATTTGTTCCTTACACTTTAATTCCAGGAATTTCGAAATTGATTCCTGAATTTTAATTTAATTCCCAGTGTATTAATTTAATTCCCGGTATTTTAATTCAGTTCCGAGTTTTAATTTAGTTCCCAGTATTTTAATTTTTAATTTAATTGCTTGCTATCGCTGATCTATGAGAGACTTGAGGTCTGAACGCCGCCGTTGCTAAGTTACCAGGTGTGTTTAATCGCTCCTGAGCGATCGAGACGACTGGAGGCAGGGACAGGGTGAATGATTTGACAGTTGATGAGTTAGGCTGGAGGACCGTTGGGATAAAGTGGCGTGACGAACCCTCGCGAGATTTGGAAATCCCCATCAGGCGTCGCGGCCGCCGCTTCCTCCTCTTTCGCCATATTGACCAAGCGGTAAGATGATGGCGGGGTCTGGCCGGCGGTAATCCGCCTTGTATCAGCGCCATCCTCGGCATTGGCGCTGACTTTTCCCGTTCCCCTTCAAGTATGTGATGCGGGGATTCATCCGGTGCGACTATGGGCGGGCAAAACGTGCGTAGTCCGTGTAAATATTGTGGTGGATTGTGCCCCCTCCCCTTGCTGTCGGCTCATTGGGAGGAGGCGAGCAGGCTGTAGGGCGGGAGGGAAGGCCCAGGGGCGGGGTGGTGGAGACCCGGCTGCAGTGAAGTGGGGTGGGGGGAGCTGTCTGATTTACAGTGGGTGATGTTTTCACTCTACACTCCCATTAGTCTTGGTTCCCCTGGTGAAGGGGGTGGATCTGGGACTGGGGTAGGGTCAGGGTAGTGAGATGGTCCACAATGACGCCTCTACTCCCCTGCACGCACATATACACACACACACACATCCCCACCCCCCCACCTCCCAGTTTGCTTTGTCCCTTGTGTTCACCTCCCCTTCTGGTCTTCTGCAGCTGATTTTTTTTTTTTTTTTTTTGTTTTTTTTTCTTCAATAATTCACAAGAGCAGCATCTCTAACCTGTTCCCTCATCTTCAGGCATCATGGTGCGCATGAATGTTCTCGCTGATGCCCTCACCAGCATCAACAATGCAGAGAAACGTGGAAAACGCCAGGTTCTCATCCGGCCATGCTCCAAAGTGATTGTGAGATTCCTGACTGTAATGATGAAGCATGGTAAGATGGTTTCTTTCACTGCCTTGGTGGTTGTCATGTGTTGCACTGGAAAGGATGAGACTTTCTGGTACCATAGGCATACAGCACAGAAACATATCTTTCAGTCCAATTCATCCATGCTGACTGGATATCCTAAATTAATCCAGTCCTATTTGACAGCATTTGGCCCATATCCCTCTTAAACCCTTCTTCTTCATGTACCTATCCAGGTGCCTTTTAAATGTTGTGATCGTACCAGCCTTCACCACCACCTTTTGCAGCATGTTCCATATATGCACCACCCACTGTGGAAAATATTGGCACTCAGTCCCTTTGAAATCTTTCCCCTCTCACCATAAACTTATGCTGTCTAGTTTTGGACTCTCCCAACCTGAGGAAAAGACCTTGGCTATTCCCCCTATCCCTGGTCCTTGTGATTTTATAAACCTGTGTAAATCTCAGCCTCTGACAGGAAGGTAGTGGTGCTCTTGAGACCTGTGCTAATCTATTTTTGATTCTCTAATTGTACTTCTTCACAGGATAGTAAGGGTGGTGGGAGTTGGAGAAGAGTCTGAAGAAGGTTAGTATAGTGGTGAAGCTGTAGAACTCATTGCCATGGAGGTTGTGGAGGCCAAATCATTGGTTATTTAAGACAAGTAGATAGGTTCTTGATTAGTAAGAGGATCAAGTATTACAAGAAGAAGGCAGGAGAATAGGGTTGAGAAACATATCAGCCATTCCATCATGGCTGATCACACTTAATGCTTGGCCTAATTCTTTTCCTATATTTTGGGCTGTCAATGCTTGAAGTGTCATAAATTCTGTACGACTGTTATGTAGAGTGTGATGGGGGTGTTTATTAAATTGGAGTCAGGATCATCAGTTAACAATTTGTGAAACTTTTAAAAATATTCTTACTAATTTCTTTGGCCTCAAAGCGTGTCTTTTTATTTACAGGCTACATCGGAGAGTTTGAGATTATTGATGACCACAGAGGTGGGAAAATAGTTGTCAATCTCACTGGTAGACTGAACAAGGTAAAAAAAAATAAAATCACTTTCCCACGGTTTGCAATTATGCCCTTTCTGCAGTTTTCATATTTTGAAGATGAAGACTCTTCTGCTTGTGTATGATTGTTTTCAGGTGCTGTGCTCACTTCATTCATTTTGGCACTGGTGTTTTTTTTTCACTCTTTCCCAGGTCTTGAGGTTTTTTTAGTTTTGAATTTCCGAAAGTACTGAACTATTTCCCATTTCTTGAATGGGAGTAAATTCTGTGTAACAGCCTCAAAGCTGCAATCTTGACCAGATAATCTGTTTCTGATGTTTGTTGAAGGAGAATTAATCTATTGTTTGACAGTTAGGTAGATAGCAGTTCTTTGCCACTGACTGACTTTTGTTTCTTGTTTCTTCATAGTGTGGTGTCATTAGCCCCAGATTCGATGTTCAAGTAAAAGAGCTGGAAAGGTGGCAAAATGGTCTCCTGCCTTCCCGTCAGTTTGGGTAAGTCTTGCTGTAAACTTCTAAATGAGAAATTTCACTCCAGTGTTTCTAGCCCATGATTAAAGGGCTTGTATGGCATGTTGATGTAGATGTTGCCTGTTTACATTGTTTTGGATGTTGAATGATGGGAGCCCTAAATCTGGTCTGTTGCAGGGCTTCATCTCCCACATTGGAAACACTAGAATCAGCTAACTTTGTGTTCTATTAGAACACAGCTTTTAAACTCACAGCTTTTGGTCACTCCTGCTGTATACCTCCGAAGGCACAAAGTGACAATGCTGAAGAATGTCTTGAGCCTTTCTTGATTAAATGTTTTGTTCTACTAACAGTCGAGAACACTGAAATCTTCTCTGATCTCCAATGCGTTTGGTTTGCCATAAACCAAGGGGATGTCTGCTTGTCAGTTTACTGATGAGTTAATTGGTATCTGGGGAGGGCATGGAGCTTGTTAGAGTCTTGACTATTGACTATTAATGATAAACACCCAAGCTATGAATTTTATCAGAGGTCCAGTTTGTTTGGAGCCTAGGAACTGGATAGGATTTATGACTTGGCTAATACTTTTGAAGGAAAAACGCGTAAATGAGTTCTGGGATCTATATTCAAAAGCATATTTGATTTGGAAGTTGGTGCAAGATTTGCTCACCTGAACCATTTTGCCCCTCAGTTTGGAGGCAGCTTGTGGTTATTGACCTTGGTTTATGGCAAACCGAACCCATAGAGACCAGAGCCTAATCAGTGTTGGATCAACTGTACCATGATCTCTTAAAAGAAGAGGAATACAAATTGTAGTGAGCTGGGAAATCAAACTTTTCTACTGATCAATCCCCTCTAACTTTGTAAACTCAGACTGACGTAACTGGTTAATAGTTAATTCACCTTCAAATACTAAACCTCCTGGCTACATCCTGCTGGTTTTTGAATGCTTGCAGTGAATCTGTGCTGTCCACAGATTTGAGTTATTTCAGGTGAGCATCTAGTTTGGAAGAAAACCTTTTTTAAACAAGTTTAGTTCTTTTTTGTATGTGCCATCCTAGTTCCTCTTGCTAGATTGAATTCCCTGAGAATTTATTCTTTTTATTTGTTTTGAAAAATGTCAGTAGCCACCCTGATTGTGTTTCCATAAGCCACTTTGCAGTTTCCTGATTGTTGTTTCCCAGTGATTAGAAATGAGCTCTTAGTGATTTTCATCAATTTGGATATAACCAGAGGAATTCCTTGATTCTAGTTTCTTGTAAAATTCCAGTCTGGACTCCAGTTGTTGGATATGAACTCAGGATTCATGCATTTGATATGGCAACTTTGCCTCCCTTAATAGGAGCCGCTTTCTGCTTTCGCTGAAGGTTCAGTTCTGTCTGAACCAGAATTACTAGTTCTGATGCTTTCCCACTTTTAAACTGAATAATGCTCTTACCTCTACACCTTCTTCCCATTCTCCCTTGAAGTAGGAGTGTTAGCAGTCCATTTGGCCGATCAGGCGGCATTCTGTCTAATTCTCCTAATGGCTGCAATTGGTGTGCTGACACTAATCACTGCATGAAATGGAGTGGGTGCACACATACAGCTTAGAATGTTGCCATCAATCCTGCAGCGCTGTTTGATGACTGTGAATGATCCTGGACTTCAAATCCATTTTCACACCTGGTTCCCATGTACCTAAGTGCTGTTTTTTGCCTCGGGTATGTTTAACAGTGGAACACCCTGCAGTAGAGAACTGCAAAGATTCTCACCTTTCTGAAGAACTTTTTCCTCATCTCGGGCCTAAATGATGGAACATTACAGCGCAGTACAGGCCCTTCGGCCCTCGACGTTGCGCCGACCTGTGAAACCAGTCTGAAGCCCATCTAACCTACACTATTCCATTATCATCCATATGATTATCCAGTGACCATTTAAATGCCCTTAAAGTTGGCGAGTCTACTACTGGTGCAGGCAGGGCATTCCACGCCCTTACTACTCTCGGAGCAAAGAACCTACCTCTGACATCTGTCCTATATCTATCACCCCTCAATTTAAAGCTATGTCCCCTCGTGCTAGCCATCACCATCTGAGGAAAAAGGCTCTCACTGTCCACCCTATCTAATCCTCTGATCATCTTGTATGTCTCTATTAAGTCACCTCTTAACCTTCCCTCTAACGAAAACAGCCTCAAGTCCCTCAGCCTTTCCTCATAAGACCTTCCGAAACTCAATCCCTCTACCAATAAAACCTAACACACCGTACGCTTTCTTAACCCTATCAACCTGGGTGGCAACTTTCAGGGATCTATGCACATGGGCACCGAGATCTCTCTGCTCATCCACCTTACCAAGAATCTTGCCATTAGCCCAGTACTCTGTATTCCTGTTACACCTTCCAAAGTGAATCACCTCACACTTTTCCGCATTAAACTCCATTTGCCACCTCTCAGCCCAGCTCTGCAGCTTATCTATGTCCCTCTGTAACCTGCAACATCCTTCCGCACTATCCACAACTCCACCGACTTTAGTGTCATCCGCAAATTTACTAACCCATCCTTCTACGCCCTCATCCAGGTCACTTATAAAAATGACAAACAACAGTGGGCCCCAAAACAGATCCTT